ATCTTGCCTATTTAGATTGGAAAGGCTGCGAGCAGGGATCATCTTTCCCAGTACCACAGTCTTACTGTAATATGAATTAGGACACAGGTTTACCTTCACTTGGAGAGCTGTAAATGGACCCCCAAGGTGTCAATGCAGCAGAGAAGGAGGTCCATACATCTCCTTACCTAATATTACCAAAAGCCCATAGATCAGGCTTGCAAAATTCTCTACACCCATTCCCACAAACAGCGTGGTTTTCTTTTTCTCCTCAGCTGACCAATAAGCTGTCCTGGGCCTGTGCTCCATCTCTTCCTGCCACTGGCCTAAATCAACTGAAATCACTAGAGATATGCCTGAATATGAACTGCAGGTGAGAGGAATCAAGTCTTTCATCACCAGTGATTTATGAGATGATGCACTGGCTGTGATCAGTCTTGCCTTTCTGGCATGTGTTGGTGCTCCTCAAATGAGTACAGGTTACATGGGCAAAGTCTGAGCTGGCAACTTTTCATAAGTCTTGCCAAAGCCCTCAGATGATCAAAACTAGAAGAACTTATAAAAAAAAATCAGTTTTACTCTTATATTATTGGTACTGTGCTAACATCTAGGACCCCCATTTATAGCCAACAACCCTTCTCCCCCAGTGCAAGGTGCTTCTTTACACCATATTTGACCATTACACATGCCTGTGCTCAATTGTACTTTGCAAGGTCTTTCATTATACGTGTGCCTTCAAGCAGTGGGCATTACACCAGGTGTTGCATAGTCCGAGGCTCTGTGCCAGTCACAGGTGGCTGAACCAACGGTATAGCCCCACTTCTTCGTTAGTCCCTTGGAGCATCCGACTCGGGTACGTAGGTGGTCGAGACATCGCCACCTTTGCCATGGTTCGTCAACCCCCAGCGGTGAGGACTTGGCTGCTGGAACGTCCATTTTTCCACCATCAGGTATCTTCTTCAGTCTCTCGTTCCACATCTGTAGTAGTGCAAGGTGCTGTACAAACTAAAATATCTGGTCCAGGCCTCAAAGGTCTTACAGACTTAAGTGTGCCACCTGCCATTTATTCCCTTGTTTCATCACCTCCATTAAAACAGTGGACGTCAGAGTCCCTTTCACTTTTGACTGGCGCCAAATTTGTACTTACAGGATGTCAACATGACACTGCTCTGAGCTGCAAAAACTGCAAGAGAAATCACTAGTCAGGTCACAGAACTGTCCTGTTGGTGTGCAATTTTACAAGCGTTAAAATCTAAGCCAAACTCAAGTCAGTGCTGTGCCTTTAACTGCGATTAATACTGGGTTTTAACCAAGCAAAAGAAGGAAATTCCATTCTCCTTCGTCCTATTTACCAGTGAAGAAAGATGCTGAAGGTGCCCAAAAATATATCATCAAGCAATGTGCTTGGGAGACTCCCAGGCTGTTAGGGAAAAAGCTTCCAAGTAGGAGAGATTTCGGCTGTGTGCAGCTTTCCCCTGCAAGCACAGACTGTAATCTGTGCCGTTGGTAAAAAATATTGACAGAAACGCTGACAGGAGCTGGACAACCACATTTGTTGGCCAGGGAGTTGTTGAAAGATCTAGATGTCCTGGACAGGCCAACACAACCTTTCAAGAGATCAAGAGTCTTCAGGCCTCCCACAAAAAGAGAGGAAAAAAGAAGTCAGACAGTGGGCAGGAGTTCAGGTAATGTGTGTGTAGTGGGGGTGGGGAAAACCCCTTGTGAGGTTGGGCTGGTTTTCATTTTGATCTGAGGCCGCGGAGCTCACTTCAGAGAGGAGCAACTCCCTAGCAAATGAAAGGCCTGGGGGATTCCTGGCTCAGGAGGGGAATGAATAACCTCTACAGGATTAGCAGGCTCCTGAAGGAGAAGAAATCATTTGCTTGAACTCTCCCACCTCCTCCTACCCTCTCACAGATTTTTTTTTGCAAAAGGCCGGATGGGATCTTGCTGAGTCAGCCAGCTGGGTATGGAGCCAGTTTTCATGGCTTCAGCACCGAGAAAGCCAAAATAGAGTTGCTAGTGAATAGAGCTTTAACTGAGATGTCAAAGGGGATCCCGATGCCTGCTGGGCTGCTTTTATAGCAAGCAAGAGCCCGTGCTGGCACTCTCTCACCCAGCAGGGGCGAGGTACCAAGGTTTTCAGTTGGGTTCTTCCTTCTTGCAAAATAAAAGCTAGTTTCACTGAGCAGTAAGAAAAAAAAAAATCTGGTACAAATTTCAGAGTCTATAAAAAAGTAAAGCAAAGAACCGGCAAGGGAGAAGAAAGGGAGGAAGCAGAAGAATTAATCTACAAATCTAAAGGAACAAATGTTTCTGATGCCAGTGCCCCCCATGCATCCCTTCTCCTTTGCCTCCTGGATCACGGCTATATGAGTCCCTCTGTTCCAAACACCCTATAATGACCCCTCTGTTGGGGCTGAACCAGAGATCCTCAGGCCAAAAATCATGAGCCTGTGCCTGAGCTGAAGACAATGCTCTCCAGGCGATGTCTGCAGCAGTCTCCTGTACCTACTGAGCACGAGTAGACAAAGCTTCCCACCCTTGGCTGCCAGTGCTTCAGGCCTGGTGTACAGACAGGCTTGTATCTGTTCATAACTATCTCAGAAATTGCAGCTTTCCACTAAATTACCTCTACTGTACAGTCCTTAATATGGATGCACTTGTAAGGGAACAAGCTATACCAGCACGTGTGTCCAGGCAAGGAGAACTGTTCAACCCTAATTACATCAGCGTTCATACCGTTCAACTTTTGAGCATAAACATGACCTAGAAGTCTTATTCCCCTTCCTCGTCTCCACTAAATTCAGTTTAATTATCCCATTCATCATCACCCCCTGAGAGCTGTGTTCCTTTCTCAAGGGCTCAAAACCCTAAATCATTCGTGACCTAGCTGCACAAGACAGCACCTCTCTGTGCAAGATCACTGCAGGCACAAGCACTACAGCTGAGTTACAGTCCCCTGTGTTTAAATGCTCCTGAGATAGTAGCAGTTTGTACCCACTTGACACACATGCCACAATGCTTCAGGTGGGAGGCAAAGGAAAGCCAAGCCTGATGCCTGTGCCAAGGCTCTGGTGCTTTTATTTCACCATATGCGGCTGCTGCCAGCTCAGGCCTCAGAACCGATGCTGCGGGTCCGTCTCACCAACTCCACATGGCAATGATCGAGACATCAGTGCTGACCTCTAGTTGAAGACACACCACAGTATCTTCCCCAGTCTCAGAAGATCTTGGCCTCTGTTTGGGGTGTCTCCACTTTTGGGGTTCCCAAGTTGCCAAGGCAGGAAGACCCAGGCCCTGATGAGGTCTAAGCTCTCAGAAAGTTCTGAGCATTTCCGGTATGAAACAAGGGCCTTTTAGTAGGTCTGAAGCTGAGCATCTCCAAAGGGGGACAGCCTGAATCATTAGCTGCTTTTGAAAACATAGGCCCTCAATAGCACAAAAAAGTCACACACGTTAAAGTATTCATAAACATTTAATAAGCATCCCGCTAGCACTCTCATCAAATTATGAGGCCCTGTAGGCAACAATTAATGGCAGATTTATTGGCTATGAATCAGTTATGAGAATAATCTGGAAACTTGTCCTAAACAGTAGGAAGATCTCTGAACCTTCATGAGATCCCCACCAATGAAAGCAAAAGCTCATTTGTCCGATTCCAAACCCTCTGTCAGTAGCAGTGGCGTACTGTGCTTCAACACAACCCACACATCAGAATAAAGCCAATATATAGCCGGCGCTAAGAGCTCTATCTGTTTCTGTTACCAACGGTCCTCACATGACCCCCACCCCACTCTTGAGTATTGGCAGGCATTACCTTGTTTAGAAAAAAAATAGTTTAGAAGGGTCTAAAATGGTCAGAAACAGTCCCCTTCCTCCCCTCCCACCCCCCGTTTGTGGCTAGACAAAAGCAAATACGAGCAAGGGCTTTTTCTACAATGTTTGCTAAGACTTACCACTTGAAGAGAGTTTTCCATATTCAAAGTGTTGAACAGCCTCACAGCTGTTCAGCAGTAATTATTATTTTCCCCAGGACAGAGGTAGGGACTCTGAAGCAAGCTGCAAGACCTGCTCAGGGTCACACAGACCCAATGTCCAAAGTTGTGTCAGAACTGTTACGCTCCCTCCAAAAATTGAAGTTGTGACAAACTGGTATTTCCTATCAAATGATTCCCAGGTCTTCCATATTTTTGTTAAATGAAAAAAAACTCTAAACCTCTATTCTTCAGTATTCTCCTCTATATAAAAAGGATTAACATTACATCAGACTCAGGAAGTGAGGCTTTTTTTTTTTGTTGTTTTGGTAAACAGATTTGAGATAATGAGATCCTATAAAATGGTAAAGTAGTCTTCTACTGATGTGTTTGCATAGCGACTCAAGTAAAAAAAAAAAAATACACAGTTTAGCTGGGCCCTTTTCTTTAAACACTAGTAGTAAGATTCCAACTGACAAAGTCTTACATGTGAACAACAGATCAATAATTAGACTCCTAGGGGCACGTTTTCAATGTATGCAAAATTTGCACTTGCAAAACAACACCACACACGCTCCTCGAACAGGTGCAAAGCAACACCCTATCTTACTCATCGAGCAGTTCATTTATATGCACCCAACACTGGCTCCCAGCACCATTTGCATGCTCACTGACCCAATCTGCTTATGAATGTGTGGGGGTTTTAATTAGCTTTGCTAATCAATTACCTGACTTGCACCAACTCAGTGCCATAGATGCATTTGGCAGGCACGGCCATTACATCCATCTTGGAAAGTATGTTCCACAAATCAGATGAAGCAAGGCAACTTTTTTTTTTTCCACTGGACTTTCATAAAGGTGTCATTATTACACACTGAGCACACTGGAACTGCAACTGCAAGACAATGATCACCTTACAAACTCTCTCCACTTACTATCTGTGGAGAGTGGCAACCCCAAAAGATCTGACTATATGTGCTTGAGAGCCACCCCCCACACTCCTTACATATGTATAAAGGGCATACTTTCAATACAGCTACTTACCATTTGGGAGGCTTTTTTTCCCCTGCAATAGTACCTCTTTGGACTGCCTTAATTTATGCTGTGATTTTGGCCAGATGCTGAAAGGTAAGCCTGCATCTCAGCCTGTCCCCCAACACAAGAGTACGTGGTCAGTAACCTGAGGAACAGAAGACAGAAAGAGGCATGCGATTTTGCTTTGTGCTCATTAGTAGCTACATACACAGCTGCCTCCCATCTGCTTTCAATAGTTGTGTTGATTAGAGACTACAGAGGCCAAGCTGCAAGGCGTGTCTACACTTGAAATGTGTTGTGGGCTTTGTGTGCAGGAGTTAAGTAATCTGCAGTCACACCGCCCGACAATCTAGGTACTTCTGCCTTCTGTCCCTATAGCTCTGTCATATTTTAAAACCACCACATAGCACCTTGGTCAGGCATATCTACTGCTGGACTACATGCATACTGGGAGATCTACTGCAAGGCAAAGCAATTCTGGGTTACGGAGTCAAGCTGCACAATTCCTATGATTCCTTGTTTCATCCCATTACCCATCTGTATTTTGCAAAGTAAACTAGTGTTTTTTTCAATGTGCCAGCATGGAGACGACACTGATGGTGACGGTGACTACCATCTGCATGGCGACAAATGCTGCTGCTTCTTAGCTGAGGAAATAAAGCAGACATTTCTCATTGATCTTTTTTCCTGGAGGAGCTACACTCAGTGAAGCCCAGTTTTAGGGCTAGCCAGCTTGCACTGACTGTGGGCTAGTGTAGTGCTGCAAAGCTGAGACTACCAGGAGTGGCAGCAGGACTTCAGAATGTCAATAGCCACTTTTCTCTCCAGAATTTTGTTCAGAGATTGCCTCAGGCCTTATGTCCCAAAAGAGAGAAGGATTCAGTCCAAAAAGGCAAAGGTCAAGCCAAAAAAACTTGCCAAGGTAGTGCTCTCAGAGCTGATGCAGGGGTAGAAGAGAACCACACATTACATGTGCAGTGTGAAGAGCTACACTGCCATGCAACTGCAGTGCCAGAGTGCTCTTTTGGTTTCAGTCTCTTAACTCTTGCAGATCATCATAAACTATAGTGCAAACCTAACAGAACTGTGCATTCAGCTAGTGGAGGGGAGAAGGGGAATTCCTTCAGATGCTGTCATCTCTTTAATTTTCAAAATATCTGTACAACATCTGCCACTGCAGTGCTACCATGAAGCTGCCTTTCATTCTGGCTACTTAACCTATATTCTGCCACTTTGGCAGTGGGAAGAACAGGGAATGTGGGAGTTACCCAGGTGTAAGAAAGACTACTAACAAGGGCCATCATACGGGGGAGCTGGCAAGACACAACAAGCTTCAGCCATTGCACACATATTGGTTGGGGAGGAGAAGGAGATGCATAGACAGGACACACCGTACGTCCCCGTGGCGATTTTGAACAATAAAGATGGGAAAGAGCCACGAGGCATAGAGAGTGCAAGATCAACAAGATGGCATCTATAACAAAGCTGTTTAATTCTCCCCAAAGCAGCTGTACTGTGGTATCTCATACAGCAGCTATACTCACACCTGACTTCAGCAGAGATACAGCTCAAGTCAGTGCGAACCTTGACATCCCAGGCAAAACCCTCAATAATTTAAAAGGATGTTCTGCCTGAGTAAATGCCAAGGGAGGGCCTAAGATTTAGCCCTAAAACTCCAAGCACCTGTTCATTTATAACCACAAATGGGATTAAAACCACTGCATTCATGCTTTACCTTTAACAGGATCTCTGGGTCCAAACCATGATCTGTGCAACATGTCCTACAACCTAAATAACAAGACACCTGCAGCTTGGGTCTCCACTTGCCTGCATCATTTAGCAGCTCCAGAAACTGACCTTATAACACCACATCAGAAGGGCACTTACTTTTGATGCAATCCATCAAGGTGAATTTCTCTTACAAGAATCTGGAGAAAACTGCTCCATTGGCTCATCCCTTTGGCTTGTGTATTAATTCAAAATGTTTATCTGAACTCTCCACTACTTCTTTGACACGTACATTCAATCATTTTATATTTCCTTCTCCAAGTAGCAGTAGGGTCCCTTCATTATTTGCACATCTGTGCCAGGCGCGATGATATTTTTTTTTTTTATTGCAGTCCAACACTCATTCCAGTGATGCAGTTTCTGTGGATCTATTTGCATCTTCTAGAAAGAATTTGGGAAAAATTAAGGATGGTTTTGAATTCAGCCCCATGTCTCTAACCTCAGAATAGCTCTCACTGTAGGTTCATTTCTCAAGCTATTGTTTATACTAGGAATGCAAAAAGGAGATTCAAATTTTAACAAATAGAAACTCTCTCATGCCCACAGTGCAAACCACACCAGAGAATCTTGGATGCACATGAAGGGACAACTGTCTACTTTGTAACAGCTGATTCAAATTACCCACAAGCTAACGACTAGATTGTGAAGCCCTCCTTCACAATGGCTCTTACTCCTGTGAGTAATCCCACTGACTGCTCCAACGAGCCGCTCCCCGCATTGTGTTCATTAGGAGCTAAATCTGAAGCTCACCCTGCCCTAAAGCCTGTCAGTATTTAGAAAAAACAGAATCATAACTAAATTTGGCACAAACTAAAACCACTGGACCTAAGCTTTTGTGCATGTTGGGATCTGGATGTCAAGTTTGTATCTCATGCCCATCTCTAGTTAAAACATTCTTTCCTAGTTACTGATCTGCTCCTGGCCACATGATACTAGTTGAGTTAAGAAGCATTAGTTTCCCAGGGACATATTGCATTCATTATAACATGCCGTTATTGACTTACAAGGCTGCTAATTCCCGAGGTCCAATTAACCCCTCAAAACCACTAACATAAGCCTGGCAGTTGCTACATTACAAAGCCACACACAGGAATTCCAGTTGTTGAACTGGCTCCTAGGGACGGCGAGAGGTGGAATAGAGAGATCTTCCTTCATTGTTCTGCCATGAAATGTAGTACCTGCTTAGCAGGCTGTTTTGCCTATGGCAGTACGATTTTGGATCTCTGTCCAGAAGCACAGGTGACACATGCGTGGAAAAGACTGCTCACATATGTGGCGAGGGTAAGAAAAATGGGGATTGAATACATTAAATCGGAGTTCCAGAAGAAAAACCACCCCAAGTAATTTGGACTAGTGGTCATTTGGGTTGGCTGTATCAATGAAGGACAGAAGTGATCTGGGATGATTTTAGGGACAGGGGAGATGTGGAAAACTGTACTTCCCTCCAAATTAAAACTACATTGTGAATCTTTAGGGATGGAGAAAATCCAAAGGTGCTTTGGGTAGACCAACACACAGGTTTTAGCACCAGATTCAAGGCACTAAGCTCCCTTGCGCAGCACAATTATCCAGGTGTAAGGGTCTATATACTGACCACATTTAGATCCATAAACCACTGTGACAGCCGTGGAACCATGCGGTCACTACACCCAGCGTGAAAAAAAAACAAGCACACAAAACTATTGGTTGAGAGGCTGTAGCCCATATCCTAGCAGAGGAGACCAGAGTCTGATCAGCTTTAGGAAAACACAGCAGAAAACCTTCCTGCTCAAAAAGGTCTTTCCACCGTGCAGATGATGCTCAGAGCCCTGACACCACTTCTGCCTCTGCAACAAAGGGAAAATCGTATGATAACCCCCCCCCCCCCCACCACCCCCTCCC